ATATTATTTCCAATATCTTTAATGGTTAATGTTAATTTGAAATTTTGTTCAAATTGATTTAAAAAATGTTGTTTATGAGTTAAATATTGGAATTTTTTAAGATTTTTATCCATTGTTTGAGATGCCATCTTTTAGATGTATTGAAAGAATACCAAAATCACTCGTATTTTATTAGTTTTAATTTTCCGTGTTATTAGTAATAAAATTATTAATTAAAAATAAAATTAAAATGAATTAATAAAAAAATTATTAATTATAAAAATAATAAAATAAATTATGAAATATTCAATTAATTAAATAAAAAAAAAATCCAAAACATATCTTTTGATATTGATTGATAATTTATTTTTTAATTTCGATAAAAAAAACAAAAAAAAAATCATAATAAAGCTTATAAATTATTAATAAAATTAATATAGATTATCTTAATTTAATACATATATAATATAATTCTTATTACTAATGTAATCTTTTTTTATCTTTCTTACATTTATGAAAATTCACATAATATCTAGAAGAATATTTTACATAACAAATATTACATTGAATTTTTTTTCTATTGATATGAACATTATTAATATGTTTGTTGTAATTTGATACATTGATAGTTGTATAACCATGTGTTTCACATTTGTAATGTTTTTTTCCGATATGAATTTTATATTGATTTATATCTAATAAACAAATAATAATAATTAATATTTAATAAAACAAAAATAATAACAAAAAAAAAAATAATTTACCAGTATATTTTTTTTTACAACATATTAATTCCATAGTTTTTAATAACTCAATTTCTTTGTAAATTTCTTTACAATTTTCACACATTAATTCCATGTTTTAATATTTGAATTTTATATATTTTTATTTTGTCTTTTTAAATATTAATTCTTTTGTATTTATTAAAAAATATTAATAATAAGAATAATATAAATAATCCTATATTGTGATCTCTTTCATTTATCATTTAAAAAAAAAAATGTCTTATGATCAAGCCATTAAATTATTTAATCAACAAAAATTTAAAAATGCAATTGAATTATTTGAACAAACATTAAATACAAATAAAAATTCTTTACTATATCTTGGATTTTGTTATGAAAAAGGTTTAGGTATTCCAAAAAACATATGGACGGCAAGAGATTATTATGAACTTTGTATTAAAGAAAATAATAATTTTTATTTCAAATCAACTGCTTTTTTTCAATATATTAATTTAAATTTTGAAACATATAAAATAACAATTGAAAAAATCAATACTTTTTTTGATTTTTTTGATAATGATGATACAAATTACCAAGTAATGTATCTTATAGGATATGCATTATTCTATGGAAAATTTGGTTCAAAACAACTATCATATTTAGGTAAAACATATCTTGAAAAGGCAAAAAATTATTTAAAAAAGGATATAAAAGAAAATGATTTATTAAAATTATATAAAATTTGGTATAATAAAACAAATGAATTTTTTAATTTAACCACTATATTAAAAAAAATCGATTTTGATGTAATAGATGAATATTTTGATATTGCTATTAATAATAATATAGTTGATAAAGCATTTAAAATTCGTATTTTAAATGATTATTTTTGTAATAAATAATATATATTTTATACTTTAAAAATTTTAAACTAGAATATATAAAAAAATATGTAAACGATTTTTTTTTTCATTCCTATATTAAGGTTTTTTTTGTTTATCTATACCAAATATACATAAATAAACTACATTATCATACATGATTATCTTTAACGGATAAATAAATTTTTGTCATACATAAAAATTGATCATCGTTATTAAATGAATTGAATCGCCACTTTTTTATTTTTTATCTTACGACTTTAATGAATACTAAGAATTCTACAAACAACTAGGCCTTCATATACAATAGGGCCTCTGTATAATTTTTAACGTCTGTACTGGTCTTAGGATGTCTAAGTCGGTTAAAACATTACAAGCATAAAATGTTATATACGCAAAAATTGGTTGTTTGTTGAAAATTATAGTAGAGAAGTTGTAAACCTTTACTTTTTTCTTTTATATCATTAGACAGTTTTTAGTACAACTTGGCTGTTCAAATTTCTCTTTGATAAACGAAAGTTGTAGAGTGGAAGCATGGCTTGGTTGTTTTTTTTATTTATTTTTTCGTTGGTCTTAAAAGCACAAAAAAGAATTTCAAACAAAGACTATACATGATTACGCTCTGTATAGGACTCCTAGTAGACTGAGAGGAATTTGCACTAAATCACCTACCACTTGGGTTATTGAGAGTTGAGAGTTATGATATTGTACATTAATGGCCTGGAATCCGTACATGCCTCCCCTGTAATCAAACTCTCCTCACACATCCATGAGAAGTGCCGTTATGTGGCGGATGTGATAAGTAATCATAATAATTTAATTATGATGAAACTAAACTTCTCGTTTTTTTTTAAACAATTTATTTTTATTATTATTTTTTATTTAATGTAAAATTTAAATATCATAAAATACATATTATTATTAATAAAATCTTAAATTATTAATTTATAAAGAAATATAAATAAACTATTTTTTGTTTAAAAAAAAATATCGAAACATATAATAATTAAAACAAATCTTTAGAAAATTATAATAAAATGTCTGTTACTCTAATAAAAACTTCTTTAATCGTATATGATTATGAAAAAAATGAACATGTAAGTAATTACTGAATATTGCTTATCTAATGTACTCAAGGTATAAGTCACGCTGAAGGAAGTGAGATTCGTGAATGGATTTCCTGCGAATAATCGTCTTTTGTAAACCTTTTGAGTTTGGTTAAGATGAGATCGATGTGATAAGTTTTAATCAAAAGCATAATGATGATATGATGTATTCATAAATATTTTTATTTTTAGGAACTTCAAATTATTGAAGGATGTAAAAAATATATGAAAGAAATTATAGAGATCTTGGAAAATACAAAAGGAGTTGTTTTTGATAAAAATTATGATGTTAAATCTATCGATAATGATAGAGATAAAGATATTATTGTATTTTATGAAAATTTTAAAATTATCATTCGTTATAAATATAGAAACTTAAAAAATATAGGATATAATGAAATTGGTGATTTTAATTTACTTATAAACACATATCATAATGATCATATTGGTGTTATGGTCACAAATAAGAATTATTCTAAAAATGCAAAAACAGAAGCAAAAAGTATGAATATTATTATATGCCAAACACAAAATTTAATTAAGAACATTAAGAAGGAAATCAAATTTTGAAAGAATTTGATAACCCATAAAAAGAAAACATCTTGTGAACTTGTAATTGAAGTGTCAAATAAATAAGCTTTTATAAAACTTGTAAATTAATAATAAAAATTT